CAACTGTTGTTAAGTTCGAATACGGGACTTTGTTAGATTGAAATATGTGAGGTTGTTGTAAAACGCTCGTGCAATGGGGGTTACAGTATATTTGGCTCGTCTGTATAACCCACCACAAACATAAATATGGCAAAACGCTGAGGTTTTTAAAAGTAAATATATCAACAAATGAAGCCTTACTTCCGCTTGTTTTCTTCTCCTAGCGTCCTTCCATCACGGCGTTCAAATTCGTATGTTGCTATTTAATGAGTTAGATAAAAAAATGTTGGTTTCATCTAACTAAATATTTTAATCAGCAAAATACAAATGTAACGTATATGTAACGACACGTTCCATTTTTTTAAACTGTAACGGGAGCGAGTTCTTTTCTCGTAGATGAAAATTGTAACGGGAACGCGTTCCAAAAATCAAGAGGAATGAGGAACGAGCTTCCGTTCCTCTTTTTGAGGAACGTGTACAACACTGCCCGCCACGGAGCGCCTCCTACAATAAACTTCCAGTTAATTCTGCACTCTGCTATGAACGACATAAACGCTTCTTGGCCTAATGTACGACAATTCTTCTGAAGGTCTTTTGATGCTTTCTTAAAGGATAGCGCGTTATCTGAATAAATGTTTCGCGGTATGCCCCTCCTTGATATGAACCGCCGAAATGCAAGCAAGAAGGCTTCCGCGAAGAGGCTCGTTGAAAGCTCGAGGTGGAGTGCTCGGGTAGCAGCGCACGTGAAGAGTAGAACGTATGCTTTGTCGCAGCTATCTAACCTTTTTTCGCATGCAATGACTCAGGGAAGTCGACCCCACTTACCTCAAACGGCTTCGCCTCTTTAATCCTGTCTGTCGGTAGTGGAGCTTGCTCTACTGCTGTGGGTTTCGCATTGAAACGCGCACATCTAAGACAACTTTTTTACTATTTTCTTGGTCAGTTGTCGGGCACGTATAATCCAATACCGCTCTCGGAGATGACTCATCGTGCTTGCTACTCCACCGTGCAGAACTTTACAATGAGCGTCAATCAGGACCAGCCTCACAAAGCTATGTTCGTTAGGAAGTATGGTTGGATGTTTGACATCGAGATTTTCAGTAGACCTTCACAGTCGTCCTCTGACTCGAAGGTTTCCGTTATCATCGAAGAAAGGATGGAGCTCAGCGAGTGTTGAATTCCCGTCTATTGTGTCATTTTTCCTTAACATAATGTCAGTCTCAAAGCTTTCCTTTTGTACTTGCTTAACCCAATACCGCCTTGCGGTGTCCAATTCCGCTGCCCCCAGCCCTCCTCGGTACTTGCCATTTTTCTTGTTAAAGTTGTTAGTGAACTTAATGACCCAGCAATTTTCTTCTATATTCAATGCGCTGTGTTTCTCTGGAAGCCATGGGATTTTGGAAACTGTAAAGTAAGCTGTCGTTGCACTTTAAAAAAAAAGAAGAGCCTAGAGTAGGGGGCTCTTTTGCCGTGTCATAATCTTATTCTAGTCTCCTGTTTTTCTAATACTCAGTAAAGTATTTATATAAAATATTTGTTTAGTATAATCAATTATACAAACCGCCTAAACAAATCTGGTTGTGTCGGTACCGTACATATCTTACAAGCAAATATTCAAGGTTCCAAAAACTACAGCAGTGAACTTCTTTATGTTTGCTTATGTAGGGATGATAAGAATCGCCTACACTTATTTAAAACACTAATGGTCAGAGCCCTTTTTTGTCCTTTTCGGTTATGAACGAAGAAACCTATCGCGCACAATATTCACTGCCTTCATAACGTAAAACAACACCACGACAGTCGGACATAAATGAAATATTACAGGATCTTTATAAAAAAAAAAAAAAAAAAAAACTGGGTTGTTTTCACCACAAAAATAAACTATGCACCATCGAACGCTCATTCTCCGCCCAAATAAAGCCCTATAGCTGTCCGAACCGGATGCCAAAGTTTCATAACTGAGCGTCACCTTATTCAAAAGTTATAAGTAATGTTCTTAAATTTTCAGTCGGAAAATGGCGGCCGGCAGAGCCCTTGAATGCGTTGAGTTGAACGACGCCAGTTGCCCAAGCGTGGCGAAAACGGGCCCCATTTTCTTGTTTTCATATTCCGAAAAAGATACGCTGTCGCATCTTTTTTGTTGAGAGAGGTGATGTGAAGAAGGGTTCCCTTTCCTTCTTTAGATTTTCAACCCTATATAAAGAGTTCTGTCCCCAATAAAGTTTTAGCTGTGTTTGAGAAGTTCTCCTTCTCTCTCCTTGTCGTCGTCCGTCAGTACCTCAGTCTCGGGTTTTTCACTAAAATGTTTCATAAACACCAGCTCCCTCGCGCCCTTACGTTATGTTCACTTATAACCTTTGAATTAGGTAACAGCTAGGTCTGAAAATCTGGACATCTGGTTCAGAACGTTAGGGCTATCTTTTGGGTGAAAAATGGATCTTCGGCGATGCGTATAGCTTACTTCTGCGGTTAAAAAATACCGTAATTTTTTGGAGGGAAGGACACGTTGTAGTTCATGTTTCGAGCCCCCGCTTTGCTCGAGATCACTTCTGTAACGACCAGTTAATTAAAATGTGTCAAGACACGGTGTTTTAAAGGCCTCATGGATTTGTTTGAAACAATCCGTGACAACCACTCTCATGTGGTGTTTGCAGGTAAGTTTTACGGCCAGGAGGACATAATATAGGGGGGCCAATCGTCGCGATTAGTCAAATAAATAACCTGAATGTGTTAGTTAACTTTTTAATTATTGAAGATAAAGATGGGGTTCCAATACGAAACTTGCTGAACGTCGCCGAAAATCACTGAATATATAAATTTAAGAAATATGTCGGGCGCGTGGGAAGCCCACTGGGGCGCTATGGTTACTACTCGTGCAACGGGCGGAAGGCTGGTGGTGCGAAAACACGTATAAGAGGCGGGAAAACCGCACGGGCTTGTTTTTGCACCCGCACTTTCTGCCCGTTGGTAACTTTATACCCCCCCCCCCCCCCCCCCACGCTTGCGATCTTTCTCAACTTTATTTCTTTATAGCGGTTTTCGATGACGCTCAAAAAGTTTTTACTTTGAACCATACGCTAAATATTACAAATTAAGAAGTCTAGTGACGCACTTTCGTTGATAAGTTGACTCATCGCGACGATTAGAACACTATATTATGTTCACTGGCCGTAGAACTTGCCCACAGAGACCTTATAGCGTAGCTTTCATGGCGTTTCTTCTAAACAAAATGTGTAAAACCAAACTAACAATTCTTGTATACAGTATTAATAAAAATATTGAAATTTATAATTTCTCCTTATAAAGGATCGTCACTTTACCTTGGAATGGCGCAAAGTAGACAAAGTCAGTTTAAAAACCTGTATATATCTTAAAACAAGTTGATAAGGCCTGTCCAAACCAGATGAAATTCAAGCTTCTCCAATCTAACTGCGTTTCGCATTTCAATTTAGAATGGGATATTTTCGGGCTCTGGTGACCGTCAGCGATTCTGGACGGTAAGATAAGTCTAGAATACTCGGGACGCTGCTGAACCCGCGGTATCTTGCTATGCCAAAAGAGAAGCGAAAAGACAAGATAAGAGAGGCTGTGTTCCGCCTTGAGTTGTTATTCCGAATATGAAAAATGAAATAATCAAAAGACCCAAAACTTCCTCCCCATCTCTCGTCTGCTGCGCTGAGTCTTTCGCGAGCCCCGTCCCAGATTATTTATAAGCACGATGTGAAGAGGGCGGACATAGGGTGCTACCGGATTGCCATAATTCTACCCACTGTAAGTTTACTCCTGCCAGATATATGTGAGGGCTCAGTTAATAATTGAACAACCTTTGTGTATAATTTTTCATGCACTAAAAGATAGATAATTTCAGACACTCTAAATCAGGGGCTCTCCTATATGGCATTCACTGAACTAAGGCCGATTCCCTTTGTGCGCGCTTCTGGCTTCATCTTGAAAGACGCGGTTTGCTGATCAGTTTCCTGATCCAGATGTGACAAATACAAAGCTGAATGTTTCCTAACCTCTGGTTATATGCTGACGCTTCGATAACACTGTTTGATGTTTCACTGCCGTCTCATGCTTCAAACTGTTGCGCGATGTAGGTACCAAACGTACGGGGAAGCAACCGCAACATTAGTACCGCGTCACAGTAATCGTGCATCGAATGTACAAATAAACTTTTATTCACTGAAATTCTGACAACAACGCCAATTGATTTCATGCGCTGAAATATGGATGCTTAGATGATGTAAACATTTCCATAATCTTTTTTTTTTTTTCTAAAAAACAAACAGGCACGAGGAAAAATAACGAGACAAAATCTGCATGCGCTTTGAGAGGTTTAACACTGTCGCAGTAAGAGTTGGCTGTAACGCGTTGCAAGTAAGGTGTCACGGTAACGCCGTTACCCGCAACGCGTTACAGCCAAAACGTTCCTTTTGTCGGTAACGTAGTATTGTACTCGTTATTCTTTTTGAAAGAGAAACAAATAAAGTACTGACGTTAAATATTTCTAGTAGCGAGTAACGTTGTTGCGTTACTCGATACATATTCTCGCCTAAAACAATAAGACTTCAGCTTTATGTTCGTGTTTGCAGGCGCCAAGTTCAATGAATTCTTTCACTCGTTCTACATACGTTCAAATTTGTTTCTTGAAATATGGCTCTTATGCGTACCCAATACGTCAAAACACTAAAGCGTTTTAATTTATAAAAAAGAAGTAACTCAAAAGTAACGCACATTACTTTTTATCCGCAACCGTAACGGTAACGCGTTCCTTTTATTTTCAAATAACATAGGCTTGTGAGCGTTCCTTTTTTCTGCGACTAATAAGTAAAACATTTCGTAATTTTTTTTTTTTTTCGTTAACGTTTACCACAGTGGTCGCACCTGTGCAACCACACTGCCCCTGTCTGAATCGCCGTCGACCCTTTGAGCTTCACGCGAACCTTGAGAGAGTCGCTTTTATAAGCGTTTCTTTTTTCTTTTTTTTTCTTTTTGCAGTGAACGGCTCAGCGGCCGGCATGGCGTCCCGGCCGGATCACTGGGCAACTGGTGGCCCCCCACGGTATTCTTGCGGGACGTACCTGCTTTCCTTGGGTGCTGGGATGACCTTTGGCTTCGGATGTGCGTTCTTACTCCTCTGCGGATTCTCCGTGGAGAATCGGTCCTTCTGGCTCGTGCGACGAATGCCGACCTCCGTGCCGGATCGGTACTCGCAGTACGGGCACTTCGAAGACGACGACGGGACTGGGCCGGAGAAGCCCCTGATTGGTCATGGAGACATGGAAGAGTTCCACGGCAATGGTGAGGAGAGTCGTCTCTGGGGTCCACTTTCATTGGTTACTTCACCAGACATTGCATTAGCTCCATTTTTGTATTAATGGAGTGGTGTAAATGTCACGCCTGCGCGTAATAAATACAATACCAATGTTCGAGCTTAAATTTTGTCATCATCCAAGAAATAGGATTATGAACGAGTTTCCTTAAATCTTTGTAAAGATGAGTTTGCCAAGGTTTTATTATATATTGCATTTCGCTTGTTTCGCAGTCTTCCAAAAGATGTATCCTTTGGACAAAACGTACTTTCCGACCTTCACGCACCCATCTTTATATTTACTCAACTCTGCCTGCGTAATGTTAATAATACGTTGTGCATGTCTGCACGATAATGTCGACGTTGTGGTGGGTTCACGATGAATATAGCCTGCGCCTTTTCCCAAGGTTTTATGAAGCAGAGTGCAAAACACGAACCAAGTATAGGGGTTTCTTGCATAACGCAGATGGTTGCTTCGAATGAGCTCGTGTGCAGTTGCTGCCTCTGAAAAGATGTTTCACGAGATAGATTCAAGTTTAGACCGTAACATACTTTTTTACAGATTGAGCATTTCGAAAGAAAGTGCACTCGCAAATTAATTGAGATCATTTCAAACACGAATCATGCGAAGTCGTACGACGCTACTCTCTTTTAAATTTAACTCAAGTAAACGCCCCGCGCGGTACCTATCTTGGTATTGTACTTACACAATTTCTTGAGATGGCCCTTATCACGACGCGTTGACGGTGGTACAGACCTCAATGATGTGATGATGATTAAGTGGTTAAAGGCGCGGAAGCTACGGTGGCCATAGTGAGCAAACTCAATTAGGGTCGAGCTAGAACAGCCCGGTCCTAGGAGATACGCGGCAGTTTCCTTTTTCAACCTGCGAAGCGGACGCTCACTCCTGTAACTATACCTACGCTAGAACTCAGAGCGAGTTGCGCATGCTCACTGGCATCGCGCTTCTGGTAGAGCGGAGCGAGTGTACAAAAGTTGTCTGCTTAAACGTCGTAACATCTTCCCAAACTCTACCACACGCAGGCGAGGATATGCTGGCCAATCAACTTAGTCGAAAGGTACGGGTGCTCTGCTGGGTGATGACGCAGCCTAAAAACCACGCGAAGAAGGCCCGCCATGTCAAGGCCACCTGGGGTCAGCGCTGTAACACTCTCCTCTTCATGAGCAGTGCCCCAGAACCCAGCCTGCCAACTGTGGTGCTTCCGATAAAGGAATCCCGAAATACCCTGTGGGCTAAAACGAAGGCGGCGTTCCAGGAGGTCTACAAGAATCATCTCAATTCGTCCGATTGGTTCCTGAAGGCCGACGACGATACCTACGTTGTCCTGGAAAACCTAAGGTAACACGTAATTCCTGCTTCTCTTTTAATTATTGTGATACCTGATGTTAATGGCGAACGTTACATTATAATAATTTTAACAATTACATGCTCTTTCTAATAGAAACTTACTACTACAGGTGAACACCCCACGTTAACTTGTTTATGCTTTATCCTAATGTCTAGTTTAGAAATTACCAGTTTTTGAAAGGAATGGAAAAGTATTTTGTGATGCCACTAAACATGGGACTGTACTCACGTATATATCCTGCGAACAGTCTGACTATGTTTCAGTGCAACACACTTGCTTGTTTAATTTGTAAATTAAACATGCAACTCTATTCAAACATTCTTGTATAACTACTAAATAAGAATGAACTGATAAAAACCTGATCTTTACTTTTGATTGTTCATAAAAAAAATCTAATTGAAAAATAAAATGTCTTAAACTTTTTGTTAATTTTGTCTGCTTCCTTTGCAATACGAACTGCTCATTCTTCGAAGTTATTACGGCTCTCTATATTGTCTGTTTGTGGATGGCCTGCAAAAAAAATTAAAATGTGCCATTCGCGTTTATATTTTAGCAAACTAGGTCTGCTCACAAATTGTAATTCCTTTGATAATTTCCAGCCAACGGATGTCGGAAGAAGCAGATTGAAAATATAAAGCTTTGACAAACAACATGCCTTTGCGAACTTTACACGTCGTGTTCTCAGGACCAGCTAGTAATTTTCTAAGTTCAAACGTCTACTATATCTATGTTGAAACAAATACAAAGTCCTATATCTGCCATGCTACCCTAGAAGTATCTAAGTCAAACCTGTTATACCGCTTCTCGGAGGTTCTGTTGTTGTTATTGTTGATGTTTTCTAAAGGAGAAATATACCTGCGTTATTTTGTAGTTAAAGCGATCGATATTAATAAACCCCGGGACACACGAATAACAAAACAACTGACCCGTCAAATAACGCGTCCAAATTACATTATTGAAGATCATAATTCGTAACCTAAAAGTTTCCCGGTGGGCAAACATCGCGCACGGGCGTTCTAGGACTTTCTGAAGTGTACTATGTCATGTCGGACGTTTAGCGAGAATCTGTATGGCCTTTAATAAGATCATAAATTAACTACTGGACATTAATCGTAATCATATTATATTTAATTTGCTGCTGAACAAAAAGAACGCGCGTTCTAACTTCATTGCTAAACTTAAGACGTGAATTCTCGAAGACATTGCAATAAACCAACCAAATATTTCACAGTATTCGAAAAAAAAAGTGATGCTATTTTCTAAATACAGGGGTATTTACTGCACTTGATTCGCGAAAATACCTTTCTAAAAAAACAATTTTCTTTTCTTCTATACGATAAATACCCACTTGTGAATCGTTTTTGTAAAAATGATGAAAACTGCTTCTTGCCTGCTGCAAAGTCCAGACGATTTTCGGTTGGGCTAATCTGTTGAATAATTTATTATACTCGAAGGCTTCCCGGCGTACGCTTACTAATCATCTAAACTTCTTTTATGATATTTTACCAAACAGTTTGTTAGCACAAGCAAGTTGCAAGAATCGTATGTTCCAGTAAAAATATCGCGGATTTCTTCCCAAAGTTTCTTTGGCTCATCTTATACAACGGTGCAGCCTTAACAGTGCCAGATGTAGGCCGTATTGGTATTTACGACGAAGAAGGAAGGAAAATCACCACAGATGTTTCGCTCCTCCGCCTGTCGAAATGCGATCTGAAACGGGGGTTGGAAACGCTGCGTTTGAGACGTCTCTTCTTCCCTGTTTCTGTCCCTTTTACGTTTAAGTTTGTATTTCATACCCCAGTCTCGTGTTAAATTACAACATGACATTACCTAGTTCTTTTACTTGCTTAGCAGATCCTTTCTAAGCGACTAACAAGTAATGGTATTCAACACCTCTTTTTACAGAGGAGCTGTTAGGGCTAGTTCCCGCAGGATCGTGTCCACCAGCAAATAAATGTCGACAATAAATGTCGACATTATGAGCGACGACGGTAGCCTTCCCAGCCTTTCCACTCTGGCTTGCCGACTTGCGGCCGACCATTACTTCCTTCCCACCATAGTAAAGCTTCGCTGGTCTTCCTTTTCCATCAGAGTAGAAAGGCTGGAAGTTTTCAGTAACGTGTGCATGTCTGATGCAACACTTCCGATGTGTTCTGTTGTTTGTTTGCAGATATCTCCTGAAGGACAAGAGCCCATCCGATCCTGTGTACTACGGACGTCGCTTCAAGCCTTACGTGGAACAAGGCTACATGAGTGGCGGTGCAGGCTACGTGCTCAGCAGAGAAGCCGTACGTCGTTTGGTCGAAGATGGACTGAGTCATCCGAACAAGTGTCGCTCCGATGGGGGAGGTTCAGAGGACGTGGAGATCGGGAAGTGTTTGGAGAAGGTCGGTGTCAAGGCGGGGGACTCGAGGGACCTTCAAGGTCGAGGACGCTTCTTTCCGCTCGCTCCCGACTTCCACTTGGTATCCGGAAAGCGAAAGGACTTCTGGTACTGGAAGTACATCTACTACCCGTCTAAAGAGGTAGGCGACATGTTTCTTCACCTTAGCATACAACGCGCAAGTTTCTCTGCCACATGGGCAGAGAGGATGCGGTGACGTCAGAACGCCGAGCTCTGATTGGAAGGATAGTGGGTAGACGTAAAGGATAGCTGCCTTGGGCTCCACCAACACCAGCTAAAATAATTGAGGCCTGCGAACGTCCGCCTTTTTCTCCTCGGAGTGTCACCAACTCAGCGATGGAACCCGAACCCAATGTCGAGAGTCCGTCCATGCGTTGATTAAACACGAGCCCAGCCGAACGCCGACGCAGCAGTCATGTCCAATCCGTGTCTTCGATCGATCTCACTGGCATGATGTAAACATTCTAATTCACGTGATTTGATTGTTCTAGGTGGTATTGGTTCTACCCGTTGTCTTCCTCTAGTCAGAGCAAGCAAGATTGTCGTCTTTTTCTCTCCCAAAAGAAGCGGTGACGCTAGGGTCAGACGTTCGGGTGCCGAGCTCCGACGTCGTCTGCAATCCCTTGGAATCACTGTCGTAGCTTTTCTGCGAATTTCGGAAACCCACTGGTTCTTTACGAAGGAGAACTTTACGAAGGAGAACCTGCGAGAATGTGCGAAAGGTATACCTCGAAGAGTAACTTGTTGTTGTCTACTAACGAGTACCAGACGCATTCTAACGAAGGACGAAAATTCACGGCCAATTGTCTGCTCTGGACCGAGCAGCGGCGGGGACGGAGCTTCGTCCCACACGTGATCGTTCCCTCTCACCGCGCTTCCTTTTCTCCTCTCCTAGACTTGCGCGCCGTATAATTACTGACAGAATGAGAAGGGCAGGGCGTCTTGTTCGGATGTCCGCGACTCCCACACGCGCTCGCTACCTTCCATCGGGGTTTGGCTGAGCGTTCACGCTGGATGCTCACAAGAACGTGTGTCTGCAGCGTTGCAGAAGTACTTATTTTTCCAGCTGGCGTTCTCATGTTCTTCTCGCATTCCAAATCGTCTGCTTCCCCACCACAAAGTACCCACAAAAATGGCCGGGAGACCTCCCCGACCTCAGCTCCCCTCTCTTATTTCTCCAACAAATGTTCGGGGGCCCTCCCCCCAGTTTTTTTCTCACCCCTCCTCCTCTCTCTCTCTAGTCCTTCTCTCCATCCCCTCCTTCACCTCTTTCTTTCCTTCTCCTCCTCGAGCGTAGTGCGACGCAGCTGAATCTGTACCCGAAGTTTTACCGAAAGAAGTAAGCTCGCGCTGCAGACGGCACAGCTGAACAACATTGCTGCCCTTCTCATCCTGTTAGTAACCCTAACTTTATCGTTTTTCAAGTGATGTGGGCCTCGTCGCTGTCTTTACTCCGGTTAACACGTTTGCGTTCAAGTGTGACTAACTGCGTTACATCCCCTTGTGATTGCTTACGACCTTATAGTTGCTATGGCAACTCAAGTCCGCGTTGCGCGTCGCAGCGGAACGCGAGAAGTCGTAACACAACCGTCTGCGCTCGAACGCAAAATATCTAAAAGAACCTCCAAGGTACGCTGCCTCGAAGGCGTCTTCGACTGGTGTCGTTGGCGTCCTCTCCCACCCATACAACAAAAGTGGTCTTGAGGTCGAAACAAATGGCGACACAGGAGGCGGCGTGTCATGCCGTCAGATGTCACGACCCTGGCGGTTGGTGCCAAAAGTCCCGGCAAAAAAGAAGTGCCAGTGAGTGTGAGTGTCGCTGTCGTCGCGGCGTCCCAACTTCTGGCTGTCGAAGCTTTCGTGGTCTGTCAAGCTGTATAAGGGACCTGCAGCAGAACAGGCATTTGACACATCACCACTGCTGCTGTCACACCGCCAGGATCGCGGCCGGCGACAGCATGACCCCTTAATGACGTCATCAGGCGGAAATCGAGGGACCAGTTTTGAGGTCGCGGTAAGCACACCAGTCGAAGACACGTTCTAGACATCATTCTCCCAAAGCAAAAAGGGCGACCTGTAGATCCTGAGTCAGCTGGTTGGAACCTTAGTTGACTTGATACATGCAACCTGCAGAATAAAACTTACAGACGTATAAGCTACCGGTATTCGATGCACGCATAAGTATATTGTATCAATATCTCATCCCGTGTTTACGGGTCTTCAGGACTGTTCTTGTTGTGCAAGATTACGGACAATAATAAAGTATCCTCAGGTTGCTGTAAATCCGTAAACATTTCAACGTGGACTAAAATTAGAATTCATAATTAAAATTTAGCAATTGAATCAGGTATCACAACAAAACAGGTTAAAATTGCATTGTTATTATGAAGCTTTAGACGAAAACACAACTTATTTATTTACTTTGTTAAAGAAATAACGTAGCTTCAACTTTTTTATTTGGATATTATTTCCCCGTGTCTTTCACAACACTGTATTCGAGTGTAATTTTATAAACTGAATTTGTTCGGCCGATGCGTATTCAAACGCTATGGGTGGGATTCCTTTTGTAAAGTGTTTCCCTTTTTTTAACTTGCTCTCTTGGATCAATAAAATAAGTTTAGCGCACTGAAAATGTAGCCCGCTGCACAGATTGAATGCCATTTTACAAAGCAGTAATTGCAGTTTGTCCTTTTTTTAGGGTCTGGAGTGCTGCAGCGACACAGCCATCTCATTCCACTACATCAGCCCCGGCATGATGTATGTTATGGAGTACTTAATATATCATCTGAGGCCATATGGAATTGACCATATGGTCCACCAACATCCGGGAATGTTTCATGATCTGCGACCAGTGGTCAACAATCCCAAGCTAAATGAAGTGACCAGTGAACGAACTAAACTTTCGACGAGAACTATAAAATGATAATTCCCGCGTTACAAGCACCTCCCAGACATTCAGTGTTTACCAGCGTTCAGTGCCGTGTTTTGGGCCAGTCAGCTTCAAGGCGTACCTCGGTATGGTGAATTCGCCTAAATGCGACCCGGAGAAGCGCAAGGTAGCAACAATAGAAACTTGTTACTTCATTCCATATAATCGACAAGAAAATCAAGGTCATCATCATGTACAAGATTATCATCAGATCCACTTCCGACTATATGCGCTACGATGACTCTACCTTCGAAACTACAAGTTTCTTGAAGTCATAATTGTTTTTATTTTCTTAAAAGCAAGTCGTCGTCGAAGTTTAAGATTGTAAAATCCCCCACCATGCATATTTTCATGAATGTTGCCGGGCTACGATAACTGCTTTCTTATAAACGTCATTCCCAAGGCCACGGTTCTGGGAATTGAGGTGTCCATCGGCCGCTCGCTACTCGTCTAAATCTGGGTGCTCTTTTGAATGAGCCGTTTTATTTGAAAGGTAATTTAATCACTAGATAACAGAAAGTATAAAACAGAGAGAGGACGAAACACAGACGAGTACATGAAAGAATGTACTCGTCTGTGTTTCGTCCTCTCTCTGTTTTATACTTCCTGTTATCTAGTACTTCGTACCAACACGCTCGTTAGGAATATAATTTAATCATATTTTCTCTGGTATAACGTATGTTGTATTTTAGATTGTTCATGGAAAATACAACGTCGCCAATAGTAAGGCGAGCTTTCACCTGCTCAGCTAGTTCCTGCTTTGTGAAGGGACCATTAAAAGTACCACAATTTTGACGATGCCGTTTTGTTAAGATATGAAAGCAGATGTGAACGAAGGTTTTTGTTATGTTTTGTTACTTCGGTTTTACAGCTCCAGAGGTGTTGCCCAAAATTACATATTTTCAGCGCGAATCTCTGCTTGGTTATACATACAAGACTTTCCAAATTTGCTGCACATGTATTCCTATAATTTCCTTATATTCGCAAAAATTTTCAAACGCAGGTGTATAAAGTTGCTGATGACTTAATTCATTGCCAACATAGCAATATTTTATGTTCCAGGGAATGGCACTTCTCATTTTACTGAACGGATAATTAAATTACAGGAAAGCATTTGATAAAGTCTGAAACGTCGGAGGTATTCGACGAAGTGGACGAGGGCTTTTTTCATTTTTAAATTAGTAATGCGTTAGCAGCCCTATCGAACTGCACTGTTTTCAAAACTTTTGTTTGATGAACATATTACACAATAATGGATCTAATGAGGCGGGTTGTTATATATATTGCTATATATTAGAATTCCCTCATAATTGGCACCCGATTGTCTCATTTATGTAGACCTTAGGTAATCTGAAAAGTACGAAAACTGGTTTTGGGAGGATTTCTTGCGACACCTGGTGGGAGCCCGAGAAACGGCCGATTTCCAATGTTCAGAAAATCGCCGAGGGCGGCGCTGATGCCCTTATCATCATCACTGGCAATGCTTTTTTTTTTTTTTTTAGCTCGACAAACCGAAATGCTTGCAGATTGATTGATAAATGAATCTATCAGGTAATGCGTTTGATTAATAAAGTGAATGTATTAGTATTAGTATTTATTGATGTTAGTATCTATAGTCCCTGGAAAAGAGGCAGGAGAGATTATGTCTGAGTTTATTAAAAACGCCTTTGACCACGATCACGGCCACAAGCAGATTGAGGGAGCGGCGTGTTCGAGCAGATGGCACGAGAGGCAGTCAGTAGTCTTGTCGCTTCGTCGGCTTCATTTCTTCAGAGTAGCAGCTGTGTATCGTGAATTTTCCTAGCCCCCGACTCAGCCAGCTCAGCGAATGCGCTTTAGTAGTTAAGGTTTATTATGATGGGCAATAAAGGGAGGCGTGGAGATCGCTTGTTTGTTCCAACAGCCGAAAGCGGTTTCATGCGTCATGCCTCGTGTATTATTATTACCATAACACCATCGCTCAATAAAGCCCTTTGATGTGTTTGCGTTTGTCGTTCAATAGCGTCAAATGCGCCGGTGCTTGACGCCCGTGTCTCGAGCAGCCCTTGGAAGCAAATTACGGCGCAGCGCTGAAATGAGCTGCCCTTGGAAGGGAATGGCGGCGGAACGCCCGCTCGTGACATGTGTCTTGCGCGTTTCCACAACAATGGTTGGCGGTACTTGTAAGCGTCAATTTTGTCAAGGGACTTGATCTTTAAGCTGGCAGCAATGCCGCAACGGCAAAGACAAGGTGATTATTCTAAAACTGGGTTTTAAACCAAATGGAGCAGTCAAAAAGCATTAAAAAATTATAGCAGCTCGTGTTCCCATCTACAGCTGAACAATACCTCTACGGAGTGGGACAGATACTCAATCTGCCAAAGCACAATCGGTAGGCTTTCAGCACACCGAGTGTGCTGCGCTTTATGAGCAGCGTTACTTCCGTTATAAACCTCCCCAGCCGACCATTTAAAATATAATTAGCTCAAAAATGCCTAGAGTCCAGGTAAAGTCATGTTCCCGTGAGCTTCGTACAGGGAGAAAATATGCTGCTTCAGAGAGTTATACACCCATAACTTTATCCTTTTAGCGTCCTTATTTTGACCTAACACTCATTTTTCATCGTAAAATAGGGTGCTATTGCATTGAACACCCTTTATTTTTGACGGCTGAACAAAGGCTGCGAAAAAGAACACTATTTACATTCCTTCAACGTAGATGTACTGCGCATTACACGAAATATTGACAAGGACAAAGCAACATACGTGTGACCTTCGTGATGGTGAAGGTGATCAGCTAGGTGCGAATGGGTATTTTGGGATTGTCGAGTACATAAGGCGGTGGAACAGTCACCAGGGTCATGATTCCACTCTCGTGCTCGATTCATCGCGTCTGTATTTGCTTTTCTCCGCGTGTAGGAGCTCCATCTTTTGCTTGTTGCTTGTATACTTGCTGTGCCTAAAAAACATCTTTGCGATGATGCTAAGCTTATCTGCACCTTATTTTAGAGTGTTCGCCAGCATCACAAAAGCCGAGGTTACACTGAGTATATAACGAACAAAAGACAGTCTGCAAGCAGATTCGAATGCGAGTCACCGCGAGATCCGTGCCTCGAATGTCGCATGGCAATGAGTTCAAGGAAATAACTTTTCACGCGGCATTACAACCACGGATAATGCGGTGATTCGTGATTGCAGACTGTCTTTTGTATGATGGTGTGAGCAGTGTGACCCCGGCTTAAGGGTGTTGCGTAACACCCTAATGCCGTTGTACCACAAGAGCGGCAAACAGAAACACTAACCCCAACAAGTCTGAAGCACATGGAGCGTCCACGTAAAGGTACCTTTCGCAGGCTTGCAGTCTCCGCATGCTCGTGAAGTAAGCACCAGTGATTGCTAGCCTGCAAACAATGCCTTTGAATGCATGCTGCACGTGCTTAATTGAAGCTTGTCGGTCTCAAATGTACCTCTTTGTCACTCTTGTGGGGCTTAGGTACTAGGGTGCTATTCGCAGGGGGGAGCTCGCGAGGGGCGCTGCTGTTTTCCTCACTATGGAGGATGCACGTGCTACCCACGCGGTTATTTCACCTGCTTGCACCAGCAGAGGAAGTTGAAGTGTCCTCACTCGGGCTTGTGAAAATATTCCACCAGGCAGCGATACCCAAACTTCTCGCCGTTAATATCCTTGGCGCGCCCACACCTTTGTCAACACTCAAGCTTATACTGCGTGTTCTAAACCAGTCACCTAAGCTAATAGTTCGGTGAAAAGTGCTCACTGGGACACTAATGTAAGCGTCTGCTAGATCATTACGATTCTAAAGGTCGTCGTATTGTTTGTAAACTTTTGAAATATTGCCTAACTATAGGGAGTATTAAAAAACAATCGCGTTGTGGGCATGTCTATACAGCCGGAAGTTAGTCAGCCTCAGTGGGCGTCTGGTCTCTTAGCTGTAGAGGAGAAATTAAGCCGGTGCAGTACAACCGCTCTCCTGAGGTCATTAACGTGCATCACGCAGTAGTGATGCTTGACCACACACCGGTACGATGCTCAACCAGATTGAAACGGTCAGGGGTAAGGATTGAACGCAGGATGCCTGGGTTCTGCAGCGCGGGCAGGAAGTACTCACTGGCGGCCATGTCTGTGCGCGCGACTGTTCAGCGAGTGCAGACGGGGAGTTTCCGCAGTTGTTTTGCAACGTGCATTTCGCACCATCATGATTGCAGGTTGTAGCAGGCTATTGATGTGAGCTTGTTCTGAGCATGCGCTCCAAACATCACCCTCGAATAAGGCGTCCAGTGATTAACCTCATCGACAATTGCAAACCTGGAGTCGCGACTGGCGCCCCCTACGTGCAAGAACGTCCAGGTTGCGTGTGCCACGTAGATTTGGCAAGCTTGCAATTGCACGGGCTTGTGCGCACGAGCAGGTACATGGCGGCGGTCAGTCGCCCCACTTGCAATAGTCTATAGTCGCTGACTAAAACTTATTTTTTGTAAGCTGGCTTTTATCTAGGAACTCGAATCTTACTAACCTGCAGCGCTTATTGATGAACCGCTATGTTATTTGGCATCCAGTCACTTTCTATACCATCATAAAATTGTTAAGGTAAATACAACACCCCTTTCAACCGTTGTCTTGAAAGAGGGGATATGCTATAGTTTGATTTATCGTCAATCAAAGTGCAGTCAAAGGCTACGAGGCTTTTCGGAGCTGAAAGGTTGGCAGTTTTACTACTTCTAAAATTCAAGGTCAGTATCAGAATGGTTAATTATCTTGAAGTGGCTATCTTTTATTAGCCGTTTATTGGAGCCTACGCGAGGGATTCCGCTTCAGGAGAAACAGCTAGCACCTTTATACCTGTTTTGACATCACTGGGACGAATGAAGTGTCATCTAAATTGCGTTGTCCTGCGCCTTTTAGACGTTGTAAAACTCCACCAGTTCTCGTGTCCGACCTAGTATCCGAATTTTCAGGGGAGAAATTTTGGACATTATATAATGAAGCGGTCCCGCAGGGTTGTGCGCGAGATTTAGGTTAAAGTCACCGAGGGGATAGAAAAAAAAACACAAGTAGTTGCTTATTATTTTCTTAATTCGTTTTTTTCCCTCATTCTTTTTCGCTAATACTGCAAACTCATTCATTACAGGGCGATGACCCGTGACATGCAATGCCCTGCGCCCCTAAAGCTAGGACCACACTACTTATACATCAAACAAAAGGCAGTCTATATATAGATTCG